GCTATGGAAAAGTAAGTGGAAAGTAATGATGAGTCTACTGTTGGGTCAGAATGAAGATGCCCGTGGATAAGGCAAAAGGGGAAACCAAGATACAAGTTGGATAATTGGTACCTGGAGCCACGCTACATAGCTTATGTGAAGTCTCACTATACAGACAGTGCCAGACTTAACAATTTAATATTTTTTAACTTTATGAGGGTGCAAAGGCACTACACATTCAGTAGAAACCACACTTCAAATACCCATATAACCTTTCTGGTTTTTACTTTCAGTCCGGTAGTCAACAAATTACATGAGATATCAACACTTTTTTATAAAATAGGCTTTGTGTTAGATGGGTTTGCCCATTTGTAGGCTAATGTAAGTGTTCTGAGCACTTTTAGCTAGGCTAAACTATAATGTTCAGTGCAATTTTGACTTGAGATATTTTCAATTTGTGATGGATTTATTGGAACATAATCCCATTATAAGTTGAGGAATATCTGTATTAGTAAACTTGTTATTTTATCAAGCAAGTCAGCAGATTTCTTTACAACCAATAATCAAAAATTATGCGCATTGTTGATTGAATTAAATAACAAAAAAAGATTTGCAAATTTAAGTGCTATTCAAATGTTCAATTAGCTTGAACATTTGAATAGTATAACTTTCAAATCTCCTAGTAAAGTTTGCAGCACTACACAGAATCACATTTTTTTAAAAAATTTCAGATCAGTTAAAAAAAGGATAATAATAAACACCTATGTAGTCAGCACCCAGTTTAATAAATAAAAATTATCATATAATATAGAAATAGATACATAGACCAGTGGAAAAGAATAGAGAACCCAGAAATAAAGCCAAATGCTTACAACCAAGTAACCTTTGACAAAGCAGACAAAAACATAAATTAGGGAAAGGACACCATATTCAATAAATGGTGCTGGGAAAATCGGATTGCCACATGTAGAAGAATGAAACTGCATCCCTATCTCTCACTATATACAAAAATTAGCTCAAGATGGATCAAAGACTTAAATCTGGAAGATAACCTAGGAAACACTTTTCTTGACATTGACCTAGGTAAAGAATTTATGACAAAGACCCCAAAAGTAAATGCAACAAAAACAAAAATAAATAAATGAGACCTAATTAAATTAAAAAGCTCCTGCACAGCAAAAGAAATAATCATCACAGTAAACCTACATAATGGGAGAAAACATTTGCAAACTATACATCCAACAAAGGCCTAATATCTACAAGGAATTTACAAGGAACTCAATCAAAAGAAGGCATACAAATGGCTAACAAACATGAACAAAAAAGCTCAACACTGTTAATCATCAGGGAAATGCAAACTAAAACCACAGTGAGATACCACCTTACTCCTGCAAGAGTAGCTTTTTTTTTTTTTTTTTTTTTTTGAGGCAGATTCTTGTTCTGTTGCCCAGGCTGGAGTGCAGTGGCATAATCTCGGCTCACTGTAACCTCCGCCTCCCAGATTCAAGTGATTCTCCTGCCTCAGCATCCCGAGTAGCTGAGATAACAGGCACCCACCACCACACCCAGCTAATTTCTGTATTTTTAGTAGAGACGGGGTTTCACAATGTTGGCCAGGATGGTCTCAAACTCCTGACCTCAAGTGATTTATCCACCTCGGCCTCCCAAAGTGCTGGGATTACAGGCGTGAGCCACCAAGCCCAGCCAAGAATAGCCATTACTAAAAAGTCGAAAAAGAATAGATGTTGGCATGGATGTGATGAAAAGAGAATGCTTAGTCACCCCTGGTGGGAATGTAAATGAGTACAACCATTACGGAAAACTATGGAGATTTATCAAAGAACTGAAAGTAGATCTGCCATTCACTTTGGCAATCACACTACTGGTTTTCTACCGAAAGGAAAAGAAGACAATATGTCAAAAAGACATTGGACATGTATGTTTATTGCAGCACAATTCACAACTACAAAGATATGGAAACAACCCAGGTGCCCATCAAACAATGAGAGGATTTTTTAAATGTGATATATACGTACACCAGGGAATACTACTCAGTCATAAAAAAGAATGAAATAACACCTTTTGCAGCAGCTTGGAGCCAGAGGCCATTATTCTAAGTGAAGTAACTTAGGAATGGAAAACCAAATACCACACGTTCTCACTTATAAGTGAGAGCGAAGCTATGAGTATGCAAAGGCATACAGAGTAAGTTTAATGGACATTGGAGACTCAGAAGCAGGAAGGGTGGAAAGGGGTGAGGAATAAAAAGCTACATATTAGGTATAATGTACACTACTCAGGTGACAGGTGCACTAAATTCTCAGACTTCAGCACCGTACAATTCTTCCGTGTAACTAAAAACCACTTGTACCCCAAAAGCTTTTGAAGTTAACAATACGTATTAATTTAAAAAGAAAGAAACAAAGAAAAGGTGAATTTGTTGTTAGTCCCAATGTCTAAGGAAAAACAGAGATTAATAGCAAAGAGATGTTTAAATGGGTGGGGGCAATATTTCCTTATTGTATGAGACATATATCTTAAACAGAGGCCTTACTAATAGCTTAGCAGGATTAGACCCCTCTCAGTAAAGTTCAAACTATGTCTTTTTGGAATTAAATTTGATTCTCATCCATTAAGTCAGGGCTTCTTGAACCTCTGAATGAATCATCCTTAATGCTTTATAATAATTTAACACAACATTATCCATCATGTGGATGTCTCACCAGTGCATGGCCATTAGTAACCAGACATCTCATGAACCTACTCATTCATATTTCATTTGAAAATAGTACTAGCCTTATATTTGTTATAACAGTCCTGTTCATTATACTTATGGACAGAACATCTGGTCACTGTACTTCGAATGAATAAACTGCCATAACTCTTGGCCAGCTTTTAAGTTCCATTAGTGTTTTATTACCCTCCTTTAATTTTGTAAGAAATTAAAGGCAGTGAAAACTTTGATAAATCTCGAGGTTTTCAAATTTTATAATCTGTTCCATAAGGTGTGTGCCCCTATTACTATTAACAGACAAGGATATTGCAAACTGAGAGATAGCGTCTTCCAGAAATCACTTACAGACCATCAAGCCCTTACTTATAAACATGCTAGATGAACATCCTATAAAGTTATACATAGTCACTAAAGAATATGTAGGTGAACAACACTTTGCTTGTATAAATCAATCCAACTATTTACTAATGCCCCCCACAAGGGGACCTGAGCTGACCCCTTTCCCCTAAGGCCTGATAGAGGAAAACCTGTACAATACCATTGAATAACTCTGTTCTCATCCAGCAACCCAGCCATGCCTGATAATTCCTTTTGCCCTTTCTTTGTTCACGTGTGCCATATGATAGACTACACAAGCTTGGTGCTACCAAGCAAAACTACTTAAGGAGCCCCAAAAACTATGGATGCAAAAAAGTTTTTAAAAAGCAAAAACAAAATCATTCTACTGGTCTCCAAAAATTCTGAATATGAGATCTGATTTTGGAGAAGAGAAGCATTTGATAGAATCACCAGGGGGAATATTCTAATAAATCTACCATTTTTACCTTTATACAAAACAAATTTAGGCATGGAGTCTCTTGCATTTCTTTGTAATCAAATTTAGATGGATTTTTTTCCTCCTTGGAAGTCTTTGAGATTCCCCCCAGAGATTTGCAGTAAGCTGATGTCCACTTGTGCTGACAACCTTTCGCCATTTGTAAAGCAATTGCTGGCTTGCTTCTGAGAGCTGGTAGAAATTGAATGTCTGCCTCGGGACACCAAATTATCATGCAACACGAACTGTCCATCATGAACTGGGTGTCACCTGAACCACCAAATATAAAACTGAATTGCCTAGCAGGAATTCATTATAAAACAGAAGTGGAATATACAAAACTGGATCTGAACACGTCCAGAATACACAAGTATGCTGCATAAGCAGGGGACTTTGTAATTCCAACTACTCTTCCACCTCTCCCTCACCCTACACTGACAGCCTCATGAGGAATTCCCTATGAACAGTTAATGGAGGAAGAAAGAGCATGGGCCTGGATTTGCATGCTATGTCAGCGCCAGATGAATGAGAATGGCCTCTCCACTACAGTGAACCTCACTCAGTGGAGGCTTCAAAGTCACTAATGAAAGAAAATCTCTCCAGCAGGCAGAACTTGAAGCAGCATATCTAGTTGTACACTTTGTTTGGAAGGAGATATTGCCTGAGGTACACATCTACATTGACTCATGGGCAGCATCTTAACAGGTTGACCACCTTTCAGGCACTTAAACGAAAAACAATATTGGAAAAGCAGTAAAAAGGAAGTCTGGGAAAGAACTACATAAAATGGTCAGAGTATTAAGATACTTGTGTCTCAAGTAAACGCTCTTTAAAATACTAGGGTTTCCTAATCCCAGGGTTCTCAACCATGACACAAACTTACTGTATGCAGAGCATCAGGATTGGCTGCTCCGTATCACCCAGTGGAACTTAGAAGCAAGGAGAACTAATGCAAATATGAAGCTCATGCTACCTACTGGGCCAAGGGTAATAAAGACCTTTGTCTCTGACCCAGGAGTCTCATGTTTTTTTGTCAGTACCCATGAAACAGTAGCAGGCAAACTTATTAGTTTAGAAGTGACATAACATCTCAGGCTTTTCACAGTTGTTGGAAGTTCTGGCAATGGGGACAAGATGCTGACAGAGATATGGCTTTGGGGAAGAGGAAAGTACAATGGCCTCTTTGCAGGCCTGGTTGGAAGATCTGAGAGACTCCTGGGGATCCAGTAGTGACTGTTCTCATCCAAGTAGTGAGTGAGAGGTGTAGAATAAGGATACCCACTGTTCTACCTGTTAATGGGGCTGAGAGGTAAGAGTTAGGATTGAAGCAAGCTGTCCAAATGGTGCTTGGTGATTGTTCTTTCTCTTCTGGGCAGAAGGAGGGAGGGGCATTATTATGATGAAACAGTAAGCCCCATGGCACTAACCAACAAGCAATAAGGCAGTGGCCACTAGTTAAGGGGTCCCCACAGCTAAAATAAATAGTGTTGGTAGTGAGGATATAGATGTTTGGGTAGACCGCAAACAGAATTTGTTTACTTGAGCCTGGATCACCACCAGTCACTTGAAACTGAAAGTAAGAGTAGATTGCTTACTGACACAGAGCCGTACTCAAGAGCCTGGTAAAATCATTGCTCTCCGCCCCAGAGACAAACATTATCTTTATCTCGCTAGGCTATTACTTTCTATAGTAAGTTTGAAATCTCTCTTAGATGTCTTTGTGAAGATGTCAAATAAGCACTTAGATTTATAAGTCTAGAATTCTGGGGAGAAGTCAGGGCAAGAAATAGAGATTTGGGAGTACTTGGTATATAACTAACATTTATTGGGTACTTACTACATGCCAGGCATATCAAAGCAGTTTATGAATATTTTCTCAGTTGCACTCCCAACATCCCTATGAGGTTGGCACTGTGTTATTGTCTTTATTTTAAAGATGAAGAAGCAGAAAATTTCCCCAAGGCCACATAGCTACTGGGAGCAAAACCAGAAGAAAAACCCAGGCAGGTTGACCCCAGAGCCCATGTTCATTACTACTATGCTGTGCTACCTGGTACACAGAAGGTATTTGAAGACTTGGGATGAGATGAGGATACCCATGGGTAGTATGTAGAAAAGAGAAAATGGGAATGAAGTACTGCAACATTTAATGGTGTCCTTCAGAATCTCCAATTCCTCTTGTCTGGTTCTATACTTAATAGACAAATGCTAATTTATCAATTTGAACTGTCCCATCAGGAATATACCTGTACAAATTGCCAACTCCAGTTCCCAAACTAGATCTATCAGTTGTTGTAAATTGATAAATTAACATTCTTATTTATAATTGCTCTTTTATATGTATGGCTGGTTTTATTCCATTTCCAGAATGTTATTTCCCTTTAATTACTTAATGAAGACAGAATGTCTGGACCAGTAATGACCTCCTAAGATACCGACACTCTGTGAGGTACTATCTGAAGCAAACAGGCCTTCTTGGGCATCTCTTTGGCCACAATATGGCACCATACCAGGACTCTGAGGAAGCAGAGGTTCCACATGGTTTGTTGAAGATTCGAGGGGAAAACAACATCTGAACTGAAAATGCTTAACTCAGAGCTCTCCTCAAATAGTAAATACTATTTCAGGAACTGTTGATAAGCTTTGGCAAGACGCTGCCCTCAGAAAGAGCCATGGCAGCTGAGAAATAGTGAGTACCAGGTATGGGTTCTGTGGTATAAGCATGAGGGGTTCCGCAAAGGTGCTCTTCTCTTTAGTGTCAAGCAATTATGTGTACATATACACAGGGTACATTAGATGTTCCAATTCTTCTCCCTGTCTTTGATTTTATTCTTAAAACAAAAGATTCATTTGTAACTTTTATTTCAGTTGCCGTCACTGAGTCTTAGTAAAATAACAGTCCCTTAGTTGTTCAGAAATTCATTTTTATTTTTAATTATATGGCTACATAATAGTTGTACATATTTATAGAGCACATATGATGCTTTTATACAGGCATATAGTATGTAATGATCAAATCAGGGTAATTGGGGTATTCATCATTTCAAGCATTTATTTATCATTATTTCTTTGTGTTAGGAACATTCCAATTCAACTATTTTAGTTATTTTTAAATATACAATAAATTGTTTTTAACTACAGTCACCCTATTGTGCTACCAACTACTACAACTTATTCATTCTATTTAACTGTATTGTTGTATCCATTAACCATTCCCTGTTAATCTCCTGGTACCTCCTATTCTCCCCAGCTTCTGGTAAACATCATTCTAGTCTCTATCTCCATGACTTCAGTTTTTTTTTAGCTCCCATATGTGAATGAGTACATGCGATATTTGTCTTTTTGTGACTGGCTTGTTTTATTTAATATAATGTCCTCCAGTTCCATCCACGTTGTTATAAATAACAGAATTCCATTGTATATTTGTATCACATTTCCTTTATACATTCCTCCATTGATGGACATTTAGGTTGCTTCCGTATCTTGGCTATCGTAAATAGTACTGCCATAAACATGAGAGTGCAGTTATCTCTTCAATATACTGATTTCCTTTCTTGTGGGCATACACCCAGCAGTGGGATTGTTGGATCATATAGTAGTTCTGTTTTTAGTTATTTGAGGAACCTCCATACTGTTCTCCATAGTGACTGTACTAATTGACATTCCCACCAACAGTGCACAAGCATTCTCCTTGCTACACATCCTTGCCAGCCTTCTCAAGAAATCTTTTGACAACTTCCAAGGTCCAATTATTTTGACACTCATTTTTTAGACAGCAATTACTTGTATAGAGTTTGGTTATTGAAGAGAATGAGGAAGCTCTTCCTAGTCAAAAAGATTTTGTGCCCCATCCTTTATTTCAAGGAAACCTTTCCTGACAACCTTGGTCAGGTTCCTACTGTAAGATCCCATAGTCCCCTATACTTCATCACTACATTCATCACCTTTGAAATTAAGTGATTACTATCTGAGAACAAAGATTATATCTGTGTTATTCATTGCCATGCCACCAATACCTAGCATAGTTCCTGGCACATAGAAGGTGCTCAACAAATATTGGTTAAATGACAGAATGAGTGAAAAACACTAAACACAGATAAGACAGCTTCCAGCAACATTTAACTACAAGATTGTCAAAATCTTGAAGTTTGTGCAGTGACCACGATTTGGGAAAAGAAACTTGAGAAGATATTTCTTTTTTTTTTTTTTTTTTTTTTTTTTTTTTTTTTTTTTTTTTTTTTTTTTTTTTTTTTTTTTTTTTTTTTTTTTTTTTTTTTTTTTTAACTTGAGAAGATATTTCTAAATTATTGATATATGATGCTACCTACAATTATTGAAATATGATGTTACTTTTGTGAAAGGAAAATGAATCTTGGGGCCCCAAAATCACTAAGCTAAATGGAAAAGTCAACCAAGGAACTGCTTAGGGCAAACCTGCCTCCCATTCTATTCAAAGTCACCCCTCTGCTCACTGAGATAAATGCATCTATGCTTGCCTCCTTTGGAGAGGCTCATCAGAAACTCAAAAGAATGCAACCATTTGTCTCTTATCTACCTATGTCCTGGAAGCCCCCTCTTCACTTCGAGTTGTCCCACCTCTGCTTCAAGTTGTCCTGCCTTTTCCAGACCAAACCAATGTTCGTCTTACATATGTTAATTAATGTCTCATCTCTCCCTAAAATGTATAAAACCAAACTGTGCTCTGACCACCTTGGGCACATGTCATCAGGACCTCCTGAGGCTGTGTCATGGGTGTGTGTCCTCAACCATGGAAAAATAAAGTTTCTAAATTAACTGAGACCTGTCTCAGATATTCAAGGTTCACACTTTCATTCTATACCCATAGAAATTAATGCAAATATTGAAGTACTTTGAGTCACCTTATCATGCTATCTCAACATGGTAAAACTCATGAATTTCCTCTGTTCTATTGGTATTTGATATGGTTTGACTGTGTCCCCACCCAAATCTCATCTTAAATTGTAGTTCCCATAATCCTCATGTGTCATGGGAGGGACCAGATGGAGATAATTGAATCATGGGGGTGATTACCATCATGCTGTTCTCATGATAGTGAGTTCTCACAAGATCTGATGGTTTGATAAGGGGCCGCCCCCTTCAGCTGACACTCACTTCTCTCACCTGCCGCCATGTAAGACATGCCTGTTTTGCCTTCTGCCATGATTGTAAGTTTCCTGAGGCTTCCCTAGTCATGAGGAACTGTGAGTCAATTAAACCTCTTTTCTTCATAAATTATCCAGTCTTGGGTATATCTTCATAGCAGCATGAAAACAGACTAATACAGAAAATTGGTACCACAGAGAGTGGGGTACTGCTATAAGGATATCCAGTTATGTGGAAGTGACTTTGGAACTGGGTAGCAGGCAGAAGTTAAAACAGTTTGGAGGGCTCAGAAGAATACAGGAAAGTTTGGAACTTCCTAGAGACTTGGAGGGCTCAGAAGACAGGAAAATGTGGGAAAGGTTGGAAGTTCCTAGAGACTTGTTGAATGGCTTTGACCAAAATGATGATAGTGATATGGACAATGAAGTCCAGGCTGAGGTGGTCTCAAATGGAGATGAGGAACTTGTTAAGAACTGAAGTAAATGTCACTCTTGCAATGCAAAGAGACTGGCAGTTTTTGGTTCTCATTCTCTCTCCTGCTGCCAAGTGAAGAAGGATGTGTTTGCTTCCCCTTCCACCAGAATTGTAAGTTTCCTGAGGCCTCCCCAGCCATGAGAAACTGAGTCGATTAAACCAGTTTTGGGTATTTCTTCATAGCAGCCTGAGAATGGACTAATACAGTCACGTTGGCAAAAAAATTTCTAGCCAAAGATAATTTATATTGTAAACTGCTCCTTTAATTTCTGTGGCCTTTAGTGATAAGATCTCATCTTGGCTCTTTTTTGTGTCATTTTAAATGTCTCATTGGATCAATGAAGTTGCCTACTGAACTGCTTTTGTATAAACTCCACACATAAGGCCTATCTCGCAACATATCATTTAAGATTCTCATAAAATCACAATTTGATACAGGTGGTGCAATTTTATAGCATGAGCAACAATGACTTTACCAAACTATTTATTACATTCATAAAATTTAGACTTCTTAACAATTTTGATCTCTTGCATCAATTATCTTAGAGTTAAGTAAGGCATGTTTAGGACCCTCAAATTGTCAGGGGTATATTAAGCTTCTTTTAGGGCCTTGCTACTCAAAATAAGGTCTGTAGAACAGCAGCAGCAGCACCTGGTGCTTAACACTGTGTTGCCCCAGAACGCATATGTTGAAGCCTAACCCCCAGTTTGATGTTATTTGGAGATGCGGCCTTTGGGAGGTAATTAGATTTAGATGAGGTTATGAGACTAGGGCCCTTGTGATGGAATTAGTGCCCTTATAAGAAGAGATGTAAGAAACCTGGCTCTCTCACTGTCTTTCCCTCTCTCTCTGCCATGTGAGGGCACAGCAAGAAGGCAGCATCTTATAAGCCAAGAAGAGATCCCTCATCAGATCCAAACCATGCTTGCCAGCCTGATCTCAAACTTCCAGCCTCAAGAACTATGAGGAGTAAATTTCTGGATTTTAAGCCACCCAGTCAGTCTATGGTATTTTGTTACGGCAGCCTAAGCTGACTAAGACACCTGGGCACCTGTTCAAAATGAAGAAACTCAGACCCTACCCCAGACCTGTTGAATCAGGATCTGTATTTCACATAATCCTCAAGTGATTTGTACACTTGCTATATGTACCACTGAAGTTTGAAAAACTCTATTTTGGGGACCTATTTCAAGACAGATTAAAAACCCGATGAACCTTTCAATTGCAGGAAAAAGGTTGCCCAGCATCGAATTCTTCAATATGCTCCAAATCAGAAGTACACAATGTCGTATCAGTCACTGAAAATGAAATCTACAAGGTCAGTTTTCCCTGCATACGGTTTGGCTCTGCTTTCACTTTAACCTAGATTCCATCTTTGAGGCTGGAGGTACTGTGTTAAGATATAAGTAAACCGGCAGAAGACAAGAAGTCCTTCAACAAGTGTTCTTTATTACAGTAAAAACCATCCCAGACAACCCCACCCTAAAATCACACATTCGTATGTCAAAGAGAACTAACATTAACAGGAACTTGAAAGGAGCGAAAATCTTCACTAAGTTAAATCACATGTTTCCTGACTCATTTAAGTCCCCTCATGCAAATTTTTGGTTGTCACAGTATTATTGATGGACCAACAGAGCTTCAGCTTCCTCTTCAGTGGTCTTTAACTGATTTCCAAGCTCCAGAGTGACACTGTTAAGGGATTCAAGAGAAACAGCACACACCTGCACTTTTTGCCCCCTGCATCACAAGTACCTTTAATACTATCACTTCATTACTAGAGCAGTATCTAGAACTAGGTAAAGTTGTGCTTGATGTCTTCTTAGTCAGCTTTTTTTAAAATAGTGTTTGTTTGTATTTATTTATTTATTTATTTATTTATTTATTTTTGAGACGGAGTCTTGCTCTGTTGCCCGGGCTGGAGTGCAGTGGCACAATCTCAACTCACTGCAGCCTCCACCTCCCGGGTTCAAACAATTCTCATGCCTTGACCTCCCGAGTTCCTGGAATTACAGGCGCATTCTCCCAAAATAATTTTTGTATTTATAGTAGAGACGGGGTTTCATCATGTTGGCCAGGCTGGTCTCGAACTCCTGACCTCAAATGTAAAAGACTTTTTAGAGTAGTTTTAGTTTCATGCGAAAATTGAGTGGAAGGTACAGGGATTTTTTATACATGCCCTGCCCCCACACTTACATGGACTCTCCCATTATCAACATCCCCCACTAGAGTGGTACATTTGTTAAAATTAATCACTCAAACCTCATAATTTACATTAGGCTTCACTACTGGTACTGTATATCCTATGGGTTTGGAAAAATTTATAATGTCAAGTATTCACCTTTATAGCACATATACAGTAGTTCCACTGCCCTAAAAATCCTAAAATCCTTCACTTTTAACCACATACTTACCCTAAGTGAAGCAACAACATGACCTAATTGTGCCCAAAAGCAAGAAGGGACAAGACACAACCGAACCTCATCCTCCTAATTTTTTTTTTTTTTTTTTTTTTTTTTTTGAGACAGAGTTTCGCTCTTGTCACCCAGGCTGGAGTACAATGGCCCAGTCCTGGCTCACTGCAACCTCTGCCTCCCGGGTTCAAGTGATTCTCCTGCCTCAGCCTCCCGAGTAGCTGAGATTACAGGTGTGCGCCACCACGCCCAGCTAATTTTTGTATTATTAGTAGAGACGGGGTTTTACCATCTTGGCCAGGCTAGTCTGGAACTCCTGACCTCAGGTGATCCACCCACCTCGGCCTCCCAAAGTGCTGGGATTATAAACGTGAACCACTGCACCCAGCCATGCTCCTAATTTTTATAACCTTGTTACCAAAGTCATTCCTGTTACAGGATATCAGAGCACAGATGGCTATTTTTGAGAAGCGACATCAAAATAGTTTACATATCAGGCTCAATACCCTCATACACTGTTGGCTTCAGTCTGCCTTTTACAGATGGCGTTTACCACCTCCAGGAAAACAGTGTACTTCCTTGGCTTGCCTACAACATATGACAAAATAAAATTTCCCAACTTATCTAGTAAAAGTCCCATGAGCTCCAAGGGGAGGGGGCCAATGTTTTATTTATCTTTGTATCACAATGCCTACCACACAGTAAGTGTGCCCCCAAAACTTGCTGAGATGAAATGAGAGAAGCCAATGCCTTGGCCAGGTTTCCCAACTCTAAACCAGTACCTTCTCCCTTCTACATACTTAAATGTGGCATTCACTGTTATGAGCAGGTAGGATATCATGTCTGCCCTGTCCTTTGTACCAAGCGAAATGGACCCCATTCTCAGCCTAAAAAGAAACTAGGGAACTGGACAGGGATGACTATTCTCCAAGATTTACTATGTAGGTGGTCCCTTATTATCTCTCTAGCATCTTCTATGACCTTGTGTATACTAATGCTGCAGTGGTTTTCCAAAGGCTGACTTTCCCCTACCCCAGCCTTCCTGGCAATTGGAAGAGCATTACTATCATATGCTTAAAGTATGAAAAAGCCAAGGGTTACATTAAGCAAGCTGACTTTCAATCTGTAGAAGCCATTAAGCTATCCCAAACAAACAAACAAAAAGTAACAAAAAAATTAAAATTAAAAAATAAAAAACTAATAACAAATCAGTGAGACCTTGGTCTAAAGATCTTTATATCTCCTCGTCCAGAGCCCCAGCCCCCAGTTCCCCCTCTCAGCTGTATTTCAAAGGCAAAGGCTAAAAAACAAAAATCACACATGGGCAGCATATGTAATCACATATAATCACATATAATGTCATGAAGTGCCAGGCATGACCCTGACAATCCACCAAGCTGGGTCCCTAACTTCAGTGCTATTTGAAGTACTCCCATGGAAAACACATCCTTTCAGACAAAAGTTACAAATACTCTTTGCTGCATGGCAAATGGTCAGGATTATCACTTTTGCTTGCAGCAAACCTCTAGAGAAAATATGATCTTATCATTCAAATATTGAGGTCTGGCTTTAAATCTATGAATTCCTGGGGCCAGCATTACAGGAGGAGGTCCCTGAGGTTAACTAGGCTCCTCAAGGGTCCACCAAGGTTAGCTCAGAGAGGGCAGGACCATATCCAATATCTTTACCAGAGAAAGTACTTTAGCATCAGGCTGGGAACATCATAGGCAATAAATAAAGAATAAACTTAAAAGGTGTTTACTATACTTCACTTCACTGTTGAGAACAAGAATAATTTCAGAGGCATGCTAAGGTAGAAATTTGGTCACAATGTAAGTCACAAGTTGACTCTGAAATGAACTGAAAACAGCAAGTGAAACTATTCTACAAGCCTAGTTACAAAAAGAACAGAGCTGTGAGAATGGGGATGCAGTTTCAAGGGGGAAGTATTTTTGTTTGTTTTCACATGAGAAAGACTGGAGTGTAATTTTAAAGGGAGAAGCAAGTACATGATCCCTTTCATGAGCCCCTATTGTATTGTTAGTTGTTAAGTTCATTATTCATTCAATAATTTTTTATTGAGCACCAACTATATGCGAGGAACTGGTTTCGATTCTAGGAATACTTAGATGAACAAAACGTAATCTCAAGGTAAGGGTGTTCCCCCATCTTGAGCCTTAAACAAACTCCCTAGATTTCTTGAAGAAGGAAACTCGAGCTCCTTGGAATTCAGCCAGGGTTCGTCTACACTCTGCCTGAGAACACACCATGAAGCCTTGCACTAGGGTCACCCGGCCTGTCCACCCTGTAAACTGGGTCATCCTCCAGGATGGAGCCTCTCTTGCCTTTGCATCCCCAGAGCCTGGCAGAGTATGAGGCAGGGGAGAAGAGGAGGAAATCTAGTGAATAGGCCATCTCCATACAGAAATGCTTGTTTTTAACCTTGGTAGGCTGTTTACACGTGAAGCATCTTGCCCAAAGTCCCAGAGGTCAGGTCCAGGTAAGACTGGGAGAAGGGCCCCAATCTCTTGAGGATGATTTTAGTGCCTGATTACATGCATTACAGGGACAACGGAGCAATGAGCTCTCTACATATTTAGAACTAAGACACATACTTCAGAAACTTGTCTCAATGAATTGTGATGAGCTGTCACCATTGACTGAAATCTCAACTATCCCCTGAAATTCCTATGGCACTTTCTGTTTTAGAAAGACGTTTTAAGGCCGGGCGCGGTGGCTCAAGCCTGTAATCCCAGCACTTTGGGAGGCCGAGACGGGCAGATCACGAGGGCAGGAGACCGAGACCATCCTGGCTAACACGGTGAAACCCCGCCTCTACTAAAAAATACAAAAAACTAGCCGGGCAAGGTGGCGGGCGCCTGTAGTCCCAGCTACTCGGGAGGCTGAGGCAGGAGAATGGCGTAAACCCGGGGGGCGGAGCTTGCAGTGAGCTGAGATCCGGCCACTGCACTCCAGCCCGGGCGACAGAGCGAGACTCCGTCTCAAAAAAAAAAAAAAAAAAAAGACGTTTTAGAAACCCACTCCTGTCCTAGAGGCCATACAGATACAAGCTTGCTCAGGACAGTGGACCCAGGAAATAATCTTTCTTTCTCTATCCTGACAACTACACCAGGAAGTGGTTGAGTCCTCATATTCTTGTTTCTCTCTCTTTAGAATCAGGATTCGGAATAAGCAATTTCCTTTTTCATTTTCCCATTTCTCTCCAACACACCGTGAAGGCCTGTAGAGCAATGACGGGCTCACACTGCCCCCTCCTGCCCATTCCCTCCCTAACAAGGAGTATATATTCATTCTCCCCTGGCCCTCTTTTGCTCCCATTCCTGTAAAGAAAGAAAAGCAACAGAATGCCCCCACAAAAGTCAAATGTCTTTATTTTATATAAAAAAAAATTTGTACAGTTTTAGTTCCTATGTTTAAGAAAAAAACCCTAAAATTGCCATAATGTTTAGATCCACTGCAAACTGTAGAAACAAGCTTTTTATATATTAAAAAAAAATTTACATTTTACAATTTTCTACATGCATGCACAAGGTCTCAGCTCTGTAACCCCCCCCAAAAAAAGAAAAAAAATCTAGATCCAACAGTGGAAAATTCTACATTTACAATCTCACTTGGAAGGGACTCAAAAAGCCCCCTTCCTTTTGCGCACAGAAGAACAAATCACAACAATCACACACCAGGACTGAATCCATCAGCAGATACTGCCCCGTGGGAAGGGCAGAGGAAGGAGAAGACAGACAGACTGACAGACACCACAGAGGAACAGGGGAGTTCGCCTGGGAAAGAAAAGAAGTACAAACCCTGGGGAAAAGATGTGTCAAATGAGAAAGTTCCGGAGAGCCCGATGTCTCATCAAAGGTGTTACATCAGGGTTTGCCATTGGAATATTGAGTGGAGATGGGAAAGAGAAAAGCAAAGGACTGAAATGGGAGGGGAAGAGGAAGAAAAGATGAGAGACAAGAGGGAAATAAACAAGAAAAAAAGAGAGCACAAAGACTAGTTTAGGAGAAAGGACCAATGAGGACAGTGGCAGAGTGGCGAGGTAGGTGAAGGACTGAGGCACAGCGTCCTGGTGTGGAGGGAGGAAGGGCAAGCGTTCCGAGGTGGT